ATCGTTCCAATTTTATCGGAGGATTCCCTTCGGGTTTAGGGTTTAGGGTTTAGGGTTTAGGGTTTAGGGTTTAGGGTTGAACAAATCCAACGCTCACGGCAGCCGTACATTCTAACCCCTGGAAGAACCAAGTAGGAAACCTCAGTACGGGTTCACAAGAGCAAATCTCAAGCTCGCGGCAGCCGTACTGGTGTTACTAGTGGTGAAAAAACAACCCAACGACCCCAACTTAGAGGTTCAAGTCTTACGAGGGCCTGAAACATCAGAGTAAGAAGTCCCCTGACAAAAAACGATAGACCCAACTACATAGGAGATTGCGTATATTGATTCTAGCATGGGGGTGAACAGGAGATACTGTTACCACTTATTCAGACATCTCTGTATCACATACTACCCAACAACGGACGGACTTCACTTTACACCTAGCCTTTAGCTGTGGAAGTTTGCGAAGCGAGGTCTGTTTAAACCCTAAACCCTAAACCCTAAGCCCTAAACTGAGCGGTTACAATTGGGTAGCAAGTAGCCTGAGCCTCAAAGTCAGGGTCTTGCAAGGACTATACTGAACTTAGACCCCTAGCAAAAATTATAATTTTAGCTGCTTCTTAGGGTTTATAGTAACCAAAGATTAAAAATTATTTGTAAGTACCCCTAAGAGGAGAAAGGGTTGAGGACTTTGGCTTTCGGGGGGGTTTCAGGGCTTAGGGTTCAGGGTTGAGAGGGAGGGTTTCAGGGTTCAGGGTTGGGAGGAAGGGTTTCAGGGTTTAGGGTTTAGGGCTTAGGGTCGAGAGGAAGGGTTTCAGGGTTCCGGGCTGGTCTGCTGTCGGTTGCTTCTTGCTTGATTTGGTCTGCCAGGGCTTCGATTTTTTTTTGGCCTTCTGGCTTACCCAGAGACTCCAATATCCCTTACTTAAGGAATATACCTTAAATCAGATTAAGGATCCTACTATAGTTTAAGGAATATTCCTTGATTAAAGAATATTGGAGTCTCTGGGTAGAGCACTGACAAAAGGTGGTAGGTTCGGCATCATCGAATCAAGAGTTCGACCTTCAAAGGTTTTTGGGCGTGTCATTACGGTGGACAGAGCCGGAACATACAAAACCCCGATTTAAAGTACAACGCAAGTGACGACTGCTTCCTAAGGAACACCCAGGAACTTTGAAACAGGGCGTGTGGCTCAGGATTTCTGAGCCACACAACCTGAAATCTTGAAGCTGTCAGGTGGCTGATTAGCTCCACAACTTCTGGGATGACGTAGAGACAGATGCGCTGTCCACGGCCGATACCTGCAAAACGGTCATCCGAGAGGCTGTGGATTGGGGACTTCTTGGTTTGGACGGGCTTCTTGCATTGGGATCCCTCCGGCAGACACACTTAGAGCACAGCCCCGTCTCAACAGCCGCAACATGCGCACGTCAATCGGCACGATGCCGCCTGGAGAGCGATACCTAGGACCTTGGAGTTTTTCTATGCCTGTGCCAACTAGCTAAGCCCTGGTCGAACCTATTTCCTGCGTAAAGCTTGGGCGGGCATGCCATGCTGCTATGCTATACAATCACGTGCTTTCGATTCCCGAAACCCCCAACTCTCAACCATGAACTTTAGTGCATAAACCCTAAACCTCTAAACCCTAAACCCTACACCACCGACGCTCAACCCCATCTACCTTCCTGCCTACCTACCCACCTACCAAAAACATGTGCAGACAAATACATAATAAGTACATGAATAAACATATGCAGAGACATATATAGACATAGACATGGATTGAAATTTAGCCTTTGAGATGCTTTGATAGGGCCCCAAAAAAGCACATATCCCATATAAATCCCCTTATAATGAAGCCCAGCTGGGTAGGGATATCCCTATAAAAAGCTTATGCTTATGTGCTTTTTGGGTCCCTAATTTGAGGCTTAGAGATGTAAGGCCGAGGGAGTTTGCGGGGTTTGGGATTTACGGCACGCTGCTTGCATTGATGTTGCAGTACTAGCTGTGCGACAAGACGGTAAACCTGGAACCTAAAGTACTGTAGGAGCCTGAATAATTACCTATACTAGTTTGGGGGTTTCTTCATTATGATTATGGTATATTGGGCCCGAAAACCCTGTTCGAATTATTAAGGCCCCTACCCAGAGACTCCAATATCCCTTACTTAAGGAATATACCTTAAATCATATAACATATAAGGATCCTTCTACAATTTTAGGAGTGTTCCTTCATTAAGGGAGATTGGAGTCTCTGAGTACATTAGCCCTTTTGCCTCTTCCATGGGTTTAAGGTTTAGGTTTAGGGTTTAGGGTTTAGGGTTTAGGGTTTAGGGTTTAGGGATTTGGGAGTTTAGGGGTTTAGAGCGGATGAGCCTCGCATGCGGTAGGCTCCTTGAACGTAGTCTCGCCAGCACCTAGGCTGTGACGGCTGAGCCCGGGATTAGCTAGGGCAGCGGGGTGCATGGCTTTCTGGGTTTATGATTTCGGGGAGGTTTTGGGTTTTGCGAAGGGTTTGAGTTTTCTTAAAGAGTACTGACGTGGTGCACTAAAGCCACTTGAGCACCTCTATGGCGCAGATTATACTGCCGACAACTCCGAGCTTGGGATTTCGCCAAGATGCCCCAGTCACGCTATTCCGAAACACTCGTCAGGACTTGCAAAGCCGACTGCTCAACAATACAAGCATAATACAGGGACCTAAATAGTTACCAATACTAATCTGGGGGTTATTTATTAATAAGTACAGTATAATGAGCCTGAGAACCCTATTCTAATTATTAAGGC